CATTATACCCCATAATGACAAAGTGAAAACATGTTTTTAGACATTTTTGCCAATTTATTGTAAATGAAAAACAGAAACATCTAATTTACACAAGTATTCACACCCCTGAGTCAATACATGTTAGAAACACCTTTGGCAGCGATTACAGCTGTGAGTCTTTCTTGATCTCTAAGAGCTTTGCACACCTGGATTGTACAATATTTGCCCATTATTCTTTTCAAAATTCTTTAAGCTCTGTCAAATTGATTGTTGATCATTGCTAGACAACCATTTTCAAGTCTTGCCATTGTGACACTCTGGCTCTGGGACTTTTGTATTTGAGCCAGGGTGTATTTTGTTTTGTTGGGTTTTGGTTTTGTATTTCTATGTTTGCAGTTCTGTGGTTGTATTTCTAGGTTTGGTCAATGACTCCCAATCGGAGGTAACGAGTGTCAGCTGTCGGCTCGTTATCTCTGATTGGGAGCCATATTTATTCTGAATGTTTTCCTGTGGGTATTGTGGGTTTTTGTTCCAGGTTCAGTATTTTGTCACTATTGGACTTCACTTTCGTCTTTTGTTTTGTATTGACGTGCTTGTCTAATTAAAGTCATCATGTTCACTCAACGCGCTGCGTATTGGTCCGCTTCCTCAGACGATCGTGACAGAAAAACCCACCATAGAAGGACCAAGCAGCGTGTCCAGGAGCAAGACAGCTGGACATGGGAGGAAGCGCCTGGTAAGGAGATCGAGAGGCTGGCGATGGCCCAGGTGGGCAAATCGTGGTCCTGGGAGGACATGCTCGGGGGCAAGGGACCTTGGGGGAAGATCAAGGCCCTGGCGAGAGAGGAGCAACGGCGTCAGCAGGGCCATCATCGTTGGAAGGACGAGAGGCAACCCCAAAAAGTTTTTGGGGGGGGGCACATGGCTTGGGCGACTGAGCAGCAGGAGGCTGCCACAAGGCAGATTCAGAAGGCTACCAGGTTAAGGGGGCTGACGGAGGCAGAGAAGGGACGGATTCAGGAGGCTACCAGGTTAAGGGGGCTACTGGGAAAAGCAGGGAAGGAAGGTGTAGAGGCACGGCGAGAGGTACTGGGGTGTGTAACCAGTCCGGTCCGGCCCGTTCCTAATCCCGAGGTACAGCCAGTAGTGTGTTCCGGCCCCTCGCACTAAGTGTACGGTGCGCGTCGCCAGCCCGGTTCGGCCTGTTCCTGAGCCTCGTACGAAGCCTACGGTGCGCGTCGCCAGCCCGACCCGGCCTGTTGCTGCTCTCCGCACTAGCCCTTATGTGCGTGCCCAGGGTCCAGCATGCCCTGTTCCTTCTCCCCGCACTAGGCGTTATGTGAGTCCCCAGGGTCCAGCATGCCCTGTTCCGGCTCTCCGCACTAGGCGTTATGTGCGTCCCCAGGGTCCAGCATACCCTGTTGCTTCTCCCCGCACTAGCCCTGAAATGCGTGTCCTCAGCCCGGTACCTCCAGTTCCGGCACCACGCATCAGGCCTACGGTGCGTCCCCAGGGTCCAGCATGCCCTGTTGCTTCTCCCCGCACTAGCCCTGAAATGCGTGTCCTCAGCCCGGTACCTCCTGTTCCGGCACCACGCACCAGGCCTACGATGCGCCTCAGACGGCCAGAGTCTGCCGTCTGCCCAACGGGGTCTGAACTGCCCGTCTGCCCAATGGGGCCTGAACTGTCCGTCTGCCCAACGCCGTCTGAACTGTCCGTCTGCCCAACGGCGCCTGAACTGCCCGTCTGCCCAACGCCGTCTGAACTGTCCGTCTGCCAAGCGCCGCAGGAACTGCCCGTCTGTACTGAGCCTGCAAAGCCGCCCGTCTGCCATGAGCCTTCAGAGCCGTCCGCCAGACCGGAGCCGCTAGAGCTCTCCGCCAGACAGGAGCAGCCAGAGCCTTCCGCCAGACAGGATCAGCCAGAGCCTTCCGCCAGACAGGAGCAGCCAGAGCCTTCCGCCAGACAGGATCAGCCAGAGCCTTCCGCCAGACAGGATCAGCCAGAGCCTTCCGCCAGACAGGATCAGCCAGAGCCTTCCGCCAGACAGGATCAGCCAGAGCCTTCCGCCAGACAGGATCAGCCAGAGCCTTCCGCCAGACAGGATCAGCCAGAGCCTTCCGCCAGACAGGATCAGCCAGAGCCTTCCGTCAGACAGGATCAGCCAGAGCCTTCCGCCAGCCAGGATCCGCCAGAGCCGTCCAGCCAGGATCCACCAGAGCCGTCCAGCCAGGATCCGCCAGAGCCAGCCAGTCAGGATCCGCCATTTAGTCAGGTACTGCCCCTTAGTCCGGTGCTGCCCCTTAGTCCGGTGCTGCCCGTGAGTCCGGTGCCGCCCCTTAATCCAGTGGGGTTTAGTTGGGGGGTGGTCATGTGGAGGAGGCTAGGGAAGCGGGTGGTGACTAAGGTGGGGTGGGGACCACGACCAGGGCCAGAACCGCCACCGTGGACAGACGCCCACCCAGACCCTCCCCGAGACTGTATGCTGGTGCGCCCGGAGTGCGCACCTTTAGGGGGGGGTACTGTAACACTCTGGCTCCGGGACTTTTGGATTTGAGCCAGGGTGTATTTGTTTTGTTGGGTATTTGTTGTGGGGTTGGTTGTAGGGTGTATTTGGTTGGTTGTGTTTTGGGTGTGTTAATTGTGGTGTCGTGTGACTCCCAATCGGAGGTAACGAGTGTCAGCTGTCGGCTCGTTATCTCTGATTGGGAGCCATATTTAATCTGAATGTTTTCCTGTGGGCATGGTGGGTTTTTGTTCCATGTTTCTGTCAGTGTTACAGAGGACTTCACTATCGTCATTTGTTGTTTTTTGTGGTTGCTTTATTAAATAAAGTCATCATGTTCACTCCACGCGCTGCGTATTGGTCCGCTTCTTCAGACGATCGTGACAGCCATAGTTTTCAAGAAGATTTAAGTCAAAACTGTAACTTGGCCACTCCAGTGTAGATTTGGCCTTGTGTTTTAGGTTATTGTCCTGCTGAAAGGGGAATTCATCTCCCAGTGCAAGCATACCCATAACATGATGCAGCCACTTAGTAATGTGTTGTATTGGATTTGCACCCAACATAACGCTTTCTATTCAGGACCATAAGATAATTGCTTGGCCACATTTTTTTGCAGTATTACTTTAGTGCCTTGTTGCAAACAGGATGCATGTTTCGGAATATTTTTATTCTGTACAGGCTTCTTTCTTTTCACTCTGTCAATTAGGTTGTTAATATTGTGGAGTAATTATAATGTTGTTGAACTGTCCTCAATTTTCTCCTATCACAGCAATTAAACTCTGTAAGTGTTTTAAAGTCACCATTGGCCTCATGGTGAAATCCCTGAGCGGTTTCATTCCTCTCTGGCAACTGAGTTAAGAAGGACGCCTGTATCTTTGTAGTGACTGGGTGTTTTGATACACCATCCAAAGTGTAATTAATAACTTCACCATGCTCAAAGGGATATTCAATGTTTGCTTTGTTTTACCAATCTACCAATAGGTGCCCTTCTTTGCGAGGCATTGGAAAACCTCCCTGGTCTTTGTGGTTGAATCTGTGTTTGAAATTCACTCCTCGACTGAGGGACCTTACAGATAATTGCATGTATGGGGTACAGAGATGAGGTAGTCATTAAATTGTGTTAAACACTATTACTGCACACAGAGTGAGTCCAAGCAACAATTTTTACTCCTGAACTTATTTAGGCTTGCCATAACAAAGGGGTTGAATACGTATTGACTCAAGACATTTCAGCTTTTCATTTTTAATTAGCCTGACGACACTAAATTCTTCTGCTGCTCTGTCGTTCGCCACATACCTCTCATTGTGGAGAAGAAACTAATGTCCGTGGGCGTGGCATAGCGTTTGGCCAGAGCAAGGAGTCTGGGTAGCAAGGCAAGGTGATAAGCACAGTCGTTCGCGAACTGCACCCCCCAAATGATTCGTTCTCGAGTTTGAATTTGTTTTCGCAGAGGCTGTGTACGTTTTGGTTCTACAAAGCTGTGTCCATAACATTAAATAATCAATGAATTGCAGTCATTATTGCACCATGTGATCAATTATTAGTTCTAAACATTTATTTTTCTTCTCTATGCTCATGATCTATTTTCCTGCCTGCATATGACAGACAGTTGGTGGTTGAGCATGTCTCTAGAGCCAAAGGAGCGTGCATTAATCCTGCTGTAGGACTCATTGCGGCCAGCACTAGCAGGTCAAAAGAATGACTAAAATGAACGAGTCACTCAGAAAAACAAATCATGACTCTCGAGTAAGTAAAAAGAGAATGAATATTTTGCCAACTGCACGTCACTACCGTCCTCCAGTTCATGGCGAAACTCGAGTGGCACCGCATTATTTCTGCCTCATGCACAAATTCATGTTGTTACTCCTATGAACAGAGAAAGTTAAATATTCCTCGATATTAAAAAAGACCCAAGCCACTAATAATAACAACGCAAGCCTATCGATACAGTTTCCTACTCATTCATTACAGCTGCAGTGCTGGTTGTAGCACAAGTGGAAGTAGGAAGAGCTTTCATTCTATTGCTCATAAAAGCATTGAATAAAAAGTGTTGACAGTGCTGAGTAAGAACTTGAACATGAACTCACTCATAAAAACAGCAGCTTTTTGCTGTATTCGTTGAGTCTCTCTCTAGTCATGGTTGTAAAAGTTTTGAAATCTCACAGTATCAACTTTGCTGTAGATTTATTACACCTGCTACGTTACTGCAGACACGGTTATCTGGGCCATCAGATTGGCCTATAGTGCACTTGATTTGCTCTCCAGGCCCGCAGGGAAGGCAGAGTTTATACCTTCAGAAACATGAAATGGTTCAAAATGGGAACAGCACAAGAAGAATAACAACAAATAGGAATGTAAGGCTTTATCGTTTACATTTTTTTTATTGCTGATCGACTGGGAATGCCTTGGAGATCGACCAGTCGATCGTGATTGATCGGTTGGTGACCACTGATATATAGCCATTGATTCTTTACTAAATTGTTTGTAAACAACAACTTTTACAGGACAGAAGCCATGGCAGGTAACTGTGTTGGGGAGAGCGACGGCCTGACATTCTGGGTGGCTGAACAAAAGGACTACGATGACGTCATGTCCATTTCTGTTCAAATCTACGGAGGGAATGACTACCTGCCTCATCGATACGCCGGTTGGATGACTGAGCCTGACAGAGTGGTTATACTGGGACGCAGAAACGGCAAACTGGTCTCTCTCTCTCTCTCTCTCTCTCTCTCTCTCTCTCTCTCTCTCTCTCTCTCTCTCTCTCTCTCTCTCTCTCTCTCTCTCTCTCTCTCTCTGCCTCCTCAATCCATCTGTCATCTGTTCCCTCTCCCCCAGGTGGCACTGGAGTCTGGTCTAATCGTTGACGAGGGGCGCACGGTGGTGGTGGAGGGATTGAGGGTGTGCCCCAGCGAGAGGGGTCGCGGCGTGGCTAGGGTCATCCAGGGGTTCGCTGACCTTTTTTATGATTTTATGAAAAAAGAACAGCAACAAACAGAACAGACACAACAAACATAGTAAACACCACATAATGTCAAATACACAGCTCAAGTCCATCGTAAATAAAATACAAATGTATGGAATGTATACATATACAGGTTTGCTGACCAGTACATCCAGCAGCTGTACCCCTCCGTCAGGACCAAGAGACAAACCAAGGCTGATGACCCTTCAGCTGGGCCCACACAGACACTAGCCAAGTTCACAGAGCTAGGGAGACGGGTGAGTTAGAATTCATACTATACTATACTAATATATACTATACTATACTACTGTATACTTTACAATACTATACTGTACTACTGTATAATTTAATTTACTTTACTATACTATTCTACTGTATACTTTACTATACTATACTGCTGTATAATTTACTTTACTATACTATACTACCTACTGTATACCTTACTACTGTATACTTTACTATACTATACAAACCCTCAACTTTTTTTGATCTGAGAAAACAGTTTGAAGGTTTTTGTTTACCGTAACCCTCAACCACAACACTAACCCAACACAGGGACCCAACCCAATACACCTCAAGACCCCTCTGAGGTGGTGAAAGGGTAAAGGTGGAGAAAGTTGTGATGATCGGACAAAACAAAGGGAATACCAATCCTGACAGTTTCCCTTTTGAACCCTCCACAATACTAACCTCTCCACACACCTCCTACCCACCCCACTCAGTCTGTCTAAAAAAACAGGGTTTTCCCAGAGCCCACTGTGAGACTCTCCCCCTTACCTTCACCCAGACACTCCACCTCAAAATCCCCAGCCTTCCCCCCACTCTTGTACCGGCCCACCAGACACAACATGACACACAGAAAAATGTATGATTGGCAAATAAAATCTCACAAACCGATTGCCATCATTGGAGCCTCAAACTTGAGCAGAATACCTTACCATCCATACAAACACATCCACATTAAAGCTATTCCAGAGCACAGTTCCACCACATTACTGGGGTCTTGTCAAAATCTACCCCAAACCACAACATCAAGGTGGTTGTGCTGTCTCTCGGTCTGAACAACGAAGACCAAACACATAAACAAACACCCATAGGCCAACTGCAATCACTCCACAGTAAAGCAACAGCCATGTACCCCAATTCAACTATCTACTTCCCCATCATTAACTACTCACCCCACCTGTCAGAGAAACAACAAGCCATGTTGAAACACATGAACTCACACATCGCCACACACTACAACTCCCTACTAGAAATCCACCACTCAGATTTCCACACTGAAAAAGCTACAATAAGGACGCATACCACTTCATAGACTCCACACCATTTCAGTCCCAGCACATGCATATTTATTAACCATAGAAACACTCTCTCTACACCAACATAGACATCTGATCAGGCTTGGCATGCGGGGAATCTGCACTCCGGAGATATCCAGATAGACCAGATTGACACATTTTACATTACATTTTAGTCATTTAGCAGACGCTCTTATCCAGAGCGACTTACAGTTAGTGAGTGCATACATTTTCATACATTCTCTTCTATATTATATTAAAATATATATTTTTTATAAAAAGGTTTGTTGGCTCATAAAGAATCACCAATTATGTAAAGTTGTATAAAAAAAACATATCTCCTTCTTCCTCATATACACTAACCTGATCCATAGGAGTCCTGGAGTGCAGTCAAACTTGCATTGTACAATCAGACCCTCAAAACCATGTTGAAATGTTACTTCCATGGTCTGAAACTTAAAACCTTCACCTGTTTTAATTATTGTCATTCATGAGGTTTGGAAGGGAAGCTCGTTTCAAATATCAGTCGAACTTGAACACTTTTAAGCAAAATAAACATTAATGAAATCTCTGATTAGAAAAAATTGTGACCAACTAGATCAAGACGGAAATGTACATGTTGGAGTACCTGCCCTGTCAAGGGGGGTAATTGTCACGCCCTGGCTCTGGGGACTCTTTAATGTTGAGCCAGGGTGTTCGTTTCTATGTTTAGTTTTCTATGTTTATGTTCTAGATCGTGTGGATCTATGTTGGCCAGGGTGGTTCCCAATCAGAGGCAGCTGATTCTCGTTGTCTCTGATTGGGAACCATACTTAGGCAGCCTGTTTGGCACAGTTAATTGTGGGATCTTGATCTGTATAGGTTTGTGTTGGTGAACCTTTAGACTTCACGTATCGTTTTGTTGTTTGTGTAAAGTACTCAATAAAAGATGTACGCCTATCACTGCGCCTTGGTCCGGTTCCTATAACGATCGTGACAGTAATAATCACTTCGAGGAAAAATTATATTTCAAGGTGTTGTAATAAAGAAATAAACAGAACACCCGAATCCTTTTTCTCCCCTTAACAAACAATCAAATGGATGATTGTCTCTCTGGCAATACCTGATGCTTTTGTGACAGCTAACATTCCAAAGCCAAACCCGATGGAGCACAGCTACTCTTGAGGGTAAAATAAATTAAAAATAAATATAATAATTATTAAATAGGTGTAGGTGTGTATTTACTGCTCCGATGCCTGTGGAGCGCTTTGTGGCTCGGCTGTCTCCTGGCAGACCATGACTTGACCTGAGGCACTGCTGGGCTTGAGCCGCTGACCAGTCTTGCCACAGAACGTGCCCTGGAACTCCTGTTTGATGGAGTCTCCGTACACCTCTCTGACGTACTTGAGGAAGGCGGTGGTCCATTGCAGGGTGGTGGCTTTGTCCGTCTCGTGGTTACAGAATGGCGCCAGCACATTCAGCTCATCACAGCAGAAGTGGATCCTCCTCCTGCGGTCCCGCTCCTTGCTATTGTGCCTCTCTCTGCGCTGGCTACTTTCCACTGGTGGCCCTCCTCTCTTCCTGGTGCCTGCTCCTCCAGCTGCTCTTCCCTCCACTGAGTTTGGGACAATGCCGGGGACCTTGACAGCACAGGGTCCACGGATCCTACCGCGTTTAGCGGTCTTCGCCACAGCATCATCTTCCACCTTCACCCAAACGTTCTCCTCTGTTGGGTTGGGGCTGTTGACGCATGGAACTTCGTCAGGCATCTTGTCTGGCCGATAGCTGAATGTGAAGTTCTTTGGAATTTTTACATTTACATTTTAGTCATTTAGCAGACGCTCTTATCCAGAGCGACTTACAGTTAGTGAATAGATATTTTTTTTATACTGGCCCCCCGTGGGAATCGAACCCACAACCCTGGCGTTGCAAACGCCATGCTCTATCAACTGAGCTACATCCCTGCCGGCCATTCCCTCCCCTACCCTGGACGACGCTGGGCCAATTGTGCGCCGCCCATGAGTCTCCCGGTCGCGGCCGGCGGCGACAGAGCCTGAATGATCAACCCTTGATGCTTATTGGGTTCAAGCATATGAGGGACCATCCCAAACCCTTGACACCTCCTATAGTTCTTAGAACTTGGTTTAAAAAACAATGATTTAACATTCAATAGCCAACACTACATACATATTCATGAGACAGTGATGGGTAAGAAGTTCGCTCCGGCCTATGCTAACATTTATATGGCAGACTGGGAGACGACAGCCTTGGCTAAATTCCCATTGCGTCCCATGTTTTGGATCGGTTTAGTCTATGACATGATACTCTAATTTTTCCTATACCCATCATGAGGTTGCTACAACCTAGCCTATGAATGAGTTTTCAACGTAGGTGCACAGGTCGAGAGAAACATTTTAGTAATCAAGATGACAGACAATGACACATTCAATACCGCCTTGCACACTCTTGCCTGCATCTAGTTGATATAGGGTGTAATCATTAGTCCAACAGTTGCAAACGAGAGTTTCTATTGGACTAATTCAGGTATGTTTATCCCCGTTTTGTTCCATTTGCTTCCATTTAAGAAAACTTTTTTCAACAGAATCGGCGTAATGAATACACCCCTGATCACACGCAAACACAGTTCACCTTCATAGCACATACATACCTTCATAGCCACATACAAACAGCATGATCACGTTGCGCATTGTATAATTCCTTCTTGCATCTACATGCTTTCCTCCTCTCAAGTTTTCCCTTCGCTTGTGGACTTCAGTGCACAACACATCAGCTGACTGTGACCAGGCATAAAAACCTTTTCAAGCCAAACCTTCATATCATAACCGCTTACTGCTACACACAGCCTACATCATTGTCACCATATTAGCTAACTTCATCAACATAGCTACTAGAACTAACGCATTAGTAAACCCTCTAGCTACAATCATGCAGTACAGTGTATAGTCAGCAAGCAGTTCAGCAGTTCCACTGGCAGGCCCCGGTGGCAATAAATTAATAAAACCAAAACGCTTACCTTGACTTGGAAGAGTTCCAGTTTTGGATAGCCATAGCCAGCTAGCTAACTTAGCATCCCTGTCCGTTTGAGCTGGGTGTTTGAGTAGGCTAAACTAGCTAGCTGCATTCGCTAGCTAAGTAAGTGAAAGTGAAAGTTTTAAAAAATACCGCAAAATATAGGTAGCTCTCTCTCTCTTGCTTCTCATCATTTCTTAAGAAACGAATTTGTTCAAAGCTGTTCAACTATTGTCTTTCTCTCTCATTGAGTCAACTAATGCTAGCTAGATGTAGCTTACGCTTTCAGTACTATGTTCATTCTCTGATCCTTTGATTGGGTGAACAACATGTTAGTTCATGCTGCAAGAGCTCTGATAGGTTGGAGGACGTCCTCCGGAAGTTGTCATAATTACTGTGTAAGTCTATGGAAGGGAGTGAGAACCATGAGCCTCCAAGGTTTTGTATTGAAGTCAATTGCAAAACAGTGTGTTTTAATCCATTATTTGGTGACGTGAATAAATGTAGTATAGTTTTATCTAAAAAGGATAACTTTTTTAATGTTTCACTATTTAAAAAAAATGAAATTCACTGAGGAGGATGGTCCTCCCCTTACTCCTCTGAGGAGCCTCCACTGTGCCCCATTGATTCGGAGAACCCCGCAAATGAATGTTCTTATGAGATAAACCTGAGACTTACTCATAAGTGTTCACAGCATGTTTTTCTTGTACAGAAGACAGTTTTACAATCTCTAACATGGAATGCGTAGCCTGTAGGTACCCAACATTCCTTTTACACCTATTATACTATTATATGACAGAAGATAAATATCACTTTATGTTTCAAGTTATAACAACATGTCATGAGTCCTTCAGTTTAATACAGTGTTTATAAAACGTGTTTACATGTAATTTGCGTTATTTTCTCTTTGTGACAAAGAGTACGAAGAAAAAGTCCCTGACTTCTCTCCCTTGCAATCTCTTAGCGCTCAAAAGCATGATTGGTCGTTTATCCAGTAACACATGCAGATCATAAGATGGTCTGCTGACTTGCCAAAGGCAACTATCTTCTATCTCCTGACCTCCCCAGGGCCGTTCAGAGTCGTAAAGGGAGAAAGGGAGAGCCGTTTATTGGTCTTGTGATAGGTTGAAAGGGGGCGCTGTCAATAGCAGAACTGTTATTAACAGAACTCGTCAGCTCTCGTTACAACACTATGTACACAGCAGAAATACTTTAATTCAGCCACACAGACCCTCTTTGGTGCAATGAGGAAGATGGAATACTCAAAGCGGTCATTGGGGTATATAAAGGCGAACAGTGGCAGGCCTGACCCAGAACAGATTGCCTGATTCCCCTAACCCAGTGGTCACCAACCATTTCTGCGTCAAGATCACTTTGGCAGTCAAAAAGCAAGCCAAGATCTACCGCTCCAAAAAGAAAAAGAAACATGACTTAAAAAATGTAACATTAACCTAATAAAAACAGTGTAGGAATGAGGTTTGTGCAGTAGGCCTAATACATTATCACAGCATATTGGCTATATGCCTGGTCTGCCAATATTGTTCTTCTCAGACCATATTATATTTCAAAACTCGAGCTTTGATAACAAAATAGATCAGTTGGTGTAACACTTGCTGGGCATAAATATAAATAATTTGCTAATAATTAGCTTTTTAATTTTACTGGACTGATGATACCAGCATCTGATGGTCATGGTGCTTTCAACATGATCTTCCTGTTGTTTTACTGGACTGATGATACCAGCATCTGATGGTCATGGTGCTTTCAACATGATCTTCCTGTCTGGGTTGGCGCCCCCCCTTGGTTTGTGCTGTGTTGGAGACCTCTGTGGGCTATACTCGGCCTTGTCTCAGGATTGTAAGTTGGTGGTTGAGGATATCCCTCTAGTGGTGCGGGGGCTGTGCTTTGGCAGAGTGGGTGGGGTTATATCCTTCCTGTTTGGCCCTGTCCGGGGGTTTCTTCGGATGGGGCCACAGTGTCTCCGGACCGCTCCTGTCTCAGCCTCCAGTATTTATGCTGCAGTAGTTTATGTGTCGGGGGGCTGGGGTTAGTTGGTTATACCTGGAGTACTTCTCCTGTCTTATCCAGTGTCCTGTGTGAATTTAAGTATGCTCTCTCTAATTCTCTCGTTCTCTCTTTCTCTCTGAGAACCTGAGCCCTAGGACCATACGTCAGGACTACCGGGCATGATGACACCTTGCTGTCCCCAGTCCGCCTGGCCTTGCTGCTATTCCAGTTTCAACTGTTCTGCCTGCGGTTACGAAACCCCTACCTGTCCCAGACCTGCTGTTTTCAACTCTTAATGATCGGCTATGAAAAGCCAACTGAGAGACCTGAGCCCTAGGACCATACGTCGGGACTACCGGCCGTGGTGACTCCTTGCTGTCCCCAGTCCGCCTGGCCTTGCTGCTATTCCAGTTTCAACTGATCTGCCTGCGGTTATGGAACCCCTACCTGTCCCAGACCTGCTGTTTTCAACTCTTAATGATCGGCTATGAAAAGCCAACTGAGATTTATTCCTGATTATTATTTGACCATGCTTGTCACTTATGAACATTTTTGAACATCTTGGCATGGTTCTGTTATAATCTTCACCCGGCACAGCCAGAAGAGGACTGGCCACCCCTCATAGCCTGGTTCCTCTCTAGGTTTTCTTCCTAGGTTTTCGCCTTTCTGAACTCTAAAAAAACTAGGTCAAATCATGATGTCAATGAACTTCAGGTCAGGAAGTCACAGCTCTAGAAAGATGCCAGATTTTCAGAGTTGTATAACCGTTCAAAACAATTTTTCCCAGTCTAATCTATTTTTTTTCTTAGAGTTCCCAGTGTATTGAATGCACTGAAGTCGGAAGTTGGAGATTTCCGTGTTTCGAGTTCCCAGTTGTTTTGAACATGGCATTAGTATCAGCGGAGGGAGGGAGAGAGCAGCAGAGGGGTCCGCCTCTCACAGTCTCTGCTCTCTCCTTCCTTTCCTGCGGTGAGACTCACCAGAGAGAGAGGACACAGTCTTCCACCTGATGGCGAAACTCGAGTCGCCCCGCATCTGCCTCAGGCACAAATTGATGTTGTTCCTATGACCAGAGAAAGTGAAATACTCCTCGATAATAAAATGGACACGACGAGCTGCTAATAATAATAAAAACGCGGGGCTATCGATACACTTGGCTACTCATTCATTGCAGGTGCAACGCAAGTGGACGTAGAAAGAAGCGCGTTTTATGTTTTGTAGTAGTGTTGAATAAAAACAGTGCAGACAGTGCTGAATAAAACTTAGATATGAACTCACTCATAAAAACAGCAGCTCTTTGCTGTATTCTTTGACAGTCACTCTCTGGTCATGGTTTTAAAAGTTATAAAATCTTACATAGGCTAGTATCAAACTTTGCTGTGGCCGGGGTTGTGGAAACTGTAGGTAGGCACGGTGATTTGAGCTTTCCGATTGGCCTGCACAGTAGGTGCGCTCGATTTAGCCATAGATATTTTCAGACAAATGTAATGGTTAAAAATGGGAACACTTTGCCACCTGGTGTGCAGGGCTTCTGAATCAAGTGCACCTACCGCCAACAGCGCAACACAAAAAAAAGAAGCGCAAGCCTTTATCGTTGGCATTTCTACGTAAATGTTTGGTGATCGACTAGGAATGCCTTGAAGATCGACCAGTCGATCATGATCAACCGGTTGGCAACCAATGCCCTAACCCTAACACTAACCCACCTGCTCCCTACAGAACCCCGGGCCTGAATCAGACATCTAACCCTACCCGTAACCCTAACCTCCATAACTCTCCCGGCAGAACCCTGGACCTGGCACTGAATTCTGACCTGGGCGAACAGCCCACACTCAATCTTAACCCTTTCTCTAATCCTGGTCTGTAGCCCTGTAGGGGTCGGTAGGGGCCCAATTAGGAGAGCCAGAGAAGCCACCAACACCAGGAGGAATTTCAAGGAAAAATGTGTTTATTTACCATGTTTTGTTTTGTCTCTAGTTTTGTCTTTTATATTTATTTAATTTCTTATGTTAGGCACTTTAACATAGCACTTATTTTTGAAGCACTTCAATGTAGACTCAGCGAGATGACGTTTCCACGAGCAGCACCAAAAATATTGAGATGAGTGAGATGCAAGACTTCATTCTCACACAGTCACACACGGTATCTGTGCATGTGCATGGGTTCGCTTCACGCTGTTACAGAGTGGGCACAAAAACAGCTGAGAAGTTTAGCCTTGCGTTTCAACGCTCTTAGTTGTTGCGGAAATTGACCCACTATGCTGTTTACTTTCTGCAGCTACGTGATATCGCTGAGTCTACCTTTAATCCCTTAAACCCTCAGCACTTAATAAAATTTAGCACTTAATCAACGCTTAGCACTTAATCAACCCTCAGCACTTAATCAACTCTTAGGACTTAATCAACCATTAGCACTTAATCAACCATTAGCACTTAATCAAACCTCAGCACTTAATCAACCCTTAGCATTTAATCAACCCTTAGCACTTAATCAACCATTAGCTCTTAATCAACCCTTAGCACTTAATCAACCCTTAGCACTTAATCAACCATTAGCTCTTAATCAAGCCTTAGCACTTAATCAAACCTCAGCACTTAATCAACCCTTAGCACTTAATCAAACCTTAGCACTTAATCAACCATTAGCTCTTAATCAACTCTTAGCACTTAATCATTCCTCAGCACTTAATCAATCCTCAGCACTTAGTCTTCCTCTCATTTAACCGTTGCATGTGACCCGTCTGAGCTATCAGCCTCCATTGATCCCTCAGGTAAACAACTGCCTCATGTTCCCCCACCCTCTCCAGACTGACTTTCCATATACATATGCAGACAGAGGAGGGTTGCAATAGGCCTGTGCAACCCAAGGTTCGATACCAGCACAAAAAGAAACCCTCTTAAACCTAACCCTATAGCTTCATGTCCACATCCCTATTCAAACCTTACCCTAACATCAACCACAACCCTAACCCTAACCCTAGCTTCATGTCCACATCCCTATTCAAACCTTACCCTAACATCAACCACAACCCTAACCCTAACCCTAGCTTCATGTCCACATCCCTATTCAAACCTTACCCTAACATCAACCACAACCCTAACCCTAACCCTAGCTTCATGTCCACATCCTGGTTGAACCCTAACCCCAGCCTCAACCCTAACCCTAGCTTCGTGTCCACATCCAGGTTCAACCTAACACTAGCCTCAACCACAGTTCTAACCATAACCCCAACCCTATCTTCATGTCCACATCCCGGTTGAACCCTAACCCTTAACCACAGTTCTAACCCTAACCCCAACCCTAGCTTCATGTCTACATCCCGGTTTAACCCTAGCCTTAACCACAGTTCTAACCCTAACCCCAACCCTAGCTTCATGTCCACATCCTGGTTCAACCCTAACCCTAACCTTAACCACAATCCTAACCCTTACCCTAACCCTAGCTTCATGTCCACTTTCTGGCTCAACCCTAACCCCATTGATATTAATTAATCGATTAAATGCACCTTTGAGATATCATAACAAGTAAATAATCTTCTACCAACCTTCTGCTGAGTTCACCCAGTCAAAAATGGTCTACATTGCTGTTGCCTTACATAATCTCAAAGTGGTTTCACAGTACTTCTCTGAATTGTATTTGAATACCTGCTGCTCCCCCTTCTGTGCAGATCTCTAAATTCGGACTCAGCTTATCAGTGACAATATTATTATATTGATAAAAGTGGTTGAAATAGGCAGTACTTCTGTGAATTCTATTTCTGTGTCAAAGCCTTTTGAAAGGCAAATATCCAGACAGTCTGTCTGTGTTTCCTCTTTCTTCCTAGAAACCAGCCCAAATGTCAGTACCTCATACCCAGTGGCGGCTCCTGAAAAAATTCTCAGGAGGGGCAATTTTTCTGATGATTTAGGTGACCTACACACATTTAAAAAAAGATATGTCCAGCAACAACATGAAGACAGGGGCAGCATATAAGTCAATACCAGAAGCATTTATTGACTGATCTCAAAAGTGTTGGCTTACCAGGGTTGGTGGAGCCCTCAGTTTCATCTTTGCCTCGCAAAGCTAACTCAAACACTCCGCAAAACTTCACACACTGGATTAGCCGGCTGAGGATGTGGCGGTTCTTGCTAATGTCGTAGTAAATATATTTGTTATAGTGAATATGGAATATGATATGTTGAGTAAAATGTTGTGCTAAGATCTATTTAGGTCAGGAGCTGGTTATAAGTTCTGTTCCTATCCAATAACAATGGACAAAAGGGTCCTATCTTGTCAGCCTTGTCAGCAGGTGGCCAAGGACAACACCCACGCCATAGGCCTCTCAGTTCTTCCAACTCACGAGTTCTTGCTCTGAGGACACACACACACACAAACACACACACACACACATCATCACTGTTAAACACACACACACACATCATCACTGTTAAACACACACACACACACACACACACACAAATCCCCTCTCTTAGGCTGAACATTTGAAGACAGAGAACCCGACTCAGAGCCAATGCAACAGTGACAGTAGCCTGCAGGGGACCTCGCCCAACTCATCAGGACCAATCAGAAGATCAGAACTACTAGATTGAACCTACTTCATTTATTGCATAAAATGTCTGCACACAATGTTTCGGGGCTCTCTTCAGATAATAATAATAATAATAATAATAATAATAATAATAATAATAATAATAATATGCCATTTAGCAGACGCTTTTATCCAAAGCGACTTACAGTCATGCGTGCATACATTTTTGTGTATGGGTGGTCCCGGGGATCGAACCCACTACCTTGGCGTTACAAGCACCATGCTCTACCAGCTGAGCTACAGAAAGTGGATACTCATGGATGCGCATTGCAATTGTAAAATGTCAACACAATTGGAGACACCACGTCATTTTTGGAGACATGTTATTGACAGTAAACTATTGTAGATGCGACTGCTAACTAACTAAAACATTTTAGCTGGCTAGCTAATCATCTTAGCTAAATGTGGGGCAAACAATTCAGTTATTTACCGTTAATTTGAGGGATTGGGGTGAAAGAAATCGAGTTACATAGTGATACTTTACGATATACTGTATTGACAATATCGCAATATTTTAGCGCTAGTTGGCTGTACCTGCACCAAAACACCATTATTGTTCCTTCATAGCTTGTTCTCAATCTTTTCACATTGGGAGCCAATTTGTTTTCAGCACTTTTATTTCCATGACTGATCAAAACTCGTTCTCATGGCTTTCTGATCCCTCTGCAACAGACATATGGTGCGCAATAAAATCACAGTATCGAATCGCAATACGTATAGAATCATGAGACTCGCAATGCTGATGCATATATCTTATCGTGAGGTTCCTGGCAATTCCCAGCCCAAGTTCATTTTTAAGAGTTTGACGAACGGGTCCGTGAACGCGATTCCAGATATATTTACCTCTGAATAAACTGCCTTTATTACACCATATCCACATCCAGTAAACTTGTGATTATCAACACTAACCTCATCGTTGTGGCGGCGGACAGCTAGCCTGTATCCCTCGTCATCCAGTTGAGTGAGTAGCAATGTCTTTTTTCGTTCGTACCAATTTTTGGAAAATCCTCGGGTGTAGGACTTTCCGCCTTTAGTAGAAACCTGTTGAATTATTAAATTTGGTCTGGGAGGTCCTAATTGTTTCGTTGCCAATTTATCTTCATTTGTTCGCCGACAAAAAGGAAATTCTTTCAAAGACACAACCGAGTTGCACTGAAGCCTAGCCATGTTGATAGTAGTAGTGAATTGATTGACGCTGCTACCCTCTCTTTTCTTAGTTACGTTCATGTGACGAAAGCGCGTAAGTGCAAGCCCACAGACACCCATTGAGATTGTATTGAAGGCTCTGAAATTTGAAAAAAATAGATTTTACATGGGAGTCTATGACAGAAGTTCTGGGCGATTTTCAATCTGACTGAAATCGCCCCAAAAGGGGGTGGAGCCATTTGAAGCACGACTTTAGCCTGATTCGACATTTAGTGGCAGTGTGGCACTGTGGCAGATCAGACGTATAGATTACAACACTGATAACTACTGTTGCCGTGATATAATTGATTAGAAAAAAAATCCCTTCCTTTTCCCGTTTGGCAGTGCGTCGCCCATATCGCCCTATTGAACAGGCCGTCCCTGCTCATACCTGGAAACACAGAGTGGTGGAAAGTCTGTCTCAGCGTGTGGCTGTGTGGTGCTCTATACTACTGCCTTTCAAAGAACACCTGACTAAAGGAAGAAACAGCATGTGCTTCTGTCCTAAATGGCACCCTATCCTCTATATAGTGCACTACTTTTGACCAGGGCCAATAGGGCTCTAGTGCACTACAGAGAGAATAGGGTGCCATTTTGGGATGCAAGCCTGTGTCATGGGTACTGGTGTGGTGAATACAATACGAAACAGTGCTGTGTACTAATGGAAACACTTAGACTGGTTTATCGCAGCAGTAGTCCCATTGAGGACTGCGGACCATATGGAGACAGGTTATTTCTAATTTAATTGATACATTAGAGTAATTGACAAACTGAGTCAAAGGGTGCATCCCAAATGGAACCTATTCCATATAATGCACTACTTTTGACCTCAGCCATTATCTGAAGTAGAGGAGAGATCGAAGAGAGAGAGTCGAGCCGTAGCGAGCGAGAGAAGCAGAGAGTCGTCGATCATCTCGCTACGATCGAGCTCTCGCGAGAATCTATCTCTCTCTCTCTCTCTGCTCTCTCTCTCTCTCCTCTCTTCTCTCTCTCTCTCTCTCTCTCTCCTCTTTAGGCTACTCTCTCATTCGTCGGGGAGGCCGACAGTTTCGACGGTTTCATCTCACACCTGAAGAACAAACTACATTCCACCACAGGAAGTGACCCAGGTGTGTCTGTCCCCCAAATGGTTCCGCTAGAGGATGAGCAACACCTGAAGAACATCCTCCTTGATCCTGAACTCCCCTCCAGGGTCCAACTTCCTGGTGGTGCCATTATCCAAGACTGGCAGCCCTTACAACCAATCAAAGGCAACCTTGAGATCTTAGCAAGGCGAAACCTCACCTGGTTGGCCGACAAGCTAGAAAGACCCGCCTTTCTCAGCTTTTACACTCCGCCTTATCCAATCCCGTACAAGGGAGGATCGCTGAGATTCAATATTGATATGTTTGGAACGGATCTAGTTTCAGCAAAGAGGGCGCTTGTCGGCCATTTTGAGAAAGTGAGGGAGAGGAGGGAGTTGAAGGGGAGGGTGATGGTTCATGTGTATCTGAATAAGTTGCTATGGGAGGGGGTGAGGGATTTCTGTGAGGGAGACGCAGGCGTGCGGAGGTGTAGAGAGTACTGGGAACAACTGTTTCTGGAGAGAGAGATGTGAGTAAAGGGAGAGAGAGAGGGGAGAGGATGAGGAAGAGAGAATGAGGAAGAGAGGGAGAGAGAGATGGAGGGAGAGAGGATAGCAAAAAGAAGGACACAGTGAGAAAGAGAGGAAAGGAGACTTAGAGCAGGGCTTTCCACATCATCTTGCTTTGATTATTTTAATCACCCAGGACCGAGTTTGGGAAACCCTGACTTAAAGGACTGAAGATTTAGAGTGAATTAGCTATATGTTTTAGCCATGTAATCAATATAAATAATATATCATACAGTATGTAACTGACTTGTTATATTGATTTGATTGATCGACTGGAACGAAGCCAGCACTTTAGAAGTTAATATGATCAAAAAATGATTGTGATAATGTAAGAATTTATAATGGGGCATTACAGGAATAAATGTTTTCTTATTAAATCATCATACATTTTTGTAAAGACAACTCTACCAAATCACTGTGATTCATCATGATTATGAAATGCAACTCAATATCAATAAGAATAAATAAATAGAATGCCGTTGGTCATTATCTCTCTCTCTCTCTCTCGCTCTCTATCCACCCTCTCCTCTTTCCATTACTGTATCCATTTATAACTGAAGCAGGCGGAGCTAAAAACGGGGGAAATGACAGAGCTTATTAGAGACCCATCAGTCTAACACATACACACACATACGGAACACACACACACACACACACACACACACACATACGGAACACACACACACACACACTCTCCCACTCTGTCTTTTTCACTTTCACACACACAAGCATGCACACACACCATTTCTTTTTCTCTCCCACACACATTAGGATGGCACTAGTAATGAATTCTATGAGGTCTGGCCAGCTGAATTGAGGCCATCGTTCAACACCACAGACCATAGACACATGCCACTGTCTCTGTTGCTATGTGGGGTCATGATTGTCTTCTATAAAATATCTATTGAAGTAGACTTCAGCTTCAGTGTGTGTGTGTGTTTGTGTGTGTGCGTTTGTGTGTGTTTGTGTTTGCCTGCGTGTGCGTCAGCTGCAATGAAAGGGCTATGGAAAACATGAATGAAAGCAATTAGTGGGGAAAAAATCAGAATTGGGCTGCCTGTGTAAACACAGCCATAGAGTCCATCCTCACCTCCTCGATCACTCTCTGGTTAGGGAATGCGTCTGCCCGATCCAACGGCAAACTGCAACGGATTGTCCGGTCTGCTGAGAGGGTTATCGGCTGCCACCTGCCCTCCATTAGGCCGTCATTGTAAATAAGAATTTGTTCTTAACTGACTTGCCTAGTTAAATAAAGGTTCAATAAAGTTAAAATTAAGGTCCTGCACGACTCTAAAGAAAGGTCAATGTGCAGGAAAGATCATTGCTGATCCATTCTACCCTGGTCTCCCCCTCTTCCAAAGACTCTCCTCTGGCAAAATTGTTCAGGTCAATCACGACCAAACCCCCAGCTCTTCTGTTTTGCTGACGTTGAGGGGGTGGTTGTTTACCTGGCACCACGCTGTCAGAGTGCCTACCTCCTCCCTGTAGGCCGTCTCATCATTGTTGGTAATCAGGCCTACTACTGTCGTGTCGCCAGCAAACTTGATGATGGAGTTGGAACTGTGTGAGGCCATGCAGTCATGGGTATACGGGGAATACAAGAGGGGATTGAGGACGCACCATTGTGGGCCTCCATGCAGTGGTGGAAAAATTACTCAGTAATTACTTGAGTAAAAGTAAAGATACCTTATTAGAAAATGACTCAAGTAAAAGTGAAAGTCACCCAGTAAAATACTACTTGAGTGAAAGTCTAAAAGTATTTGGTTTTAAATATACTTAAGTATCAAAAGCCATTTCAAATTCCTTATATTAAGCAAACCAGATGGCACAATTTTATTTTATTTATTTATTGGCGGATAGCCAGGGGGCACATTCCAACACTCAGACATCATTTACAAATGAAGCATTTGTGTTTAGTGATCCCACCAGATCAGAGGCAGTAAGGATGACCAGGGATGTTCTCTTGATAAGTGTGTGAATTGGATCATTTTCCTGTCAAAATGTAACAAGTACTTTTGGGTGTCAGGGAACATGTATGGAGTAAAAAGGACATTATTTTCTTTAGGAATGTGGTGAAGTAAAAGTAAAAGTTAGCAAAAATATTAATAGTAAAGTACAGATACCCCCCAAAACTACTTAAGTAGTACTTTAAAGTATTTTTACTTAAGTACTTTACACCACTTCCCCCGTGTTGAGAATCAGTGTTGAGGAGGTAACGTTGCCTACCTTCACCACCTGGGGGCGGGCGTCAGGAAGTCAGGGACCCAACTGCATAGGGAGGAATTCAGTCCCAGGGCCATGAGCTTTGTGGTGAGCTTAGAGGGCACTGTGGTATTGAAGACCGAGCTGTAGTCAATGAACATACAGTTGAAGTCGGAAGTTTACATACACTTAGGTTGGAGTCATTAAAACTTGTTTTTTTTTTTTTTTCAACCACTCCACACATTTCTTGTTAACAAACTATAGTTTTGGCAAGTCGATAGGATATCTACTTTGTGCATGACACAAGTAATTTTTCCAACAATTGTTTACAGACAGATTATTTAACTTATAATTCACTGTATGACAATTCCAGTGTATGAGAAGTTTACATACACTAAGTTGACTGTGCCTTTAAACAGCTTGGAAAATTCCAGAAAATGATGTCATGGCTTTAGAAGCTTCTGGTAGGCTAATTGACATAATTTGGGTCAATTGGAGGTGTACCTGTGGATGTATTTCAAGGCCTACCTTCAAACTCAGTGCCTCTTTGCTTGACATCATGGGAAAATCAAAATAAATCAGCCAAGACCTCAGAAAAAAAATTGTAGACCTCCACAAGTCTGATTCATCCTTGGGAGCAATTTCCAAACGCCTGAAGGTACCACGTTCATCTGTACAAACAATAGTCCGCAAGTATAAACACCATGGGACCACGCAGCCGTCATACCGCTCAGGAAGGAGACGCGTTCTGTCTCCTAGAGATGAACGTACTTTGGTGCGAAAAGTGCAAATCAATCCCAGAACAACAGCAAAGGACCTTGTGAAGATGCTGGCGGAAACAGGTACAAAAGTATCTATATCCACAGTAAAACGAGTCCTATATCGACATAACCTGAAAGGCCGCTCAGCAAGGAAGAAGCCGCTGCTCCGAAACCGCCATAGAAAAGCCAGACTACGGTTTGCAACTGCACATGGGGACAAAGATCGTACTTTTTGGAGAAATGTCCTCTGGTCTGATGAAACAAAAATATAACTGTTTAGCCATAATGACCATCGTTATGTTTGGAGGAAAAAGGGGGACGCTTGCAAGCCAAAGAACACCATCCCAACCGTGAAGCACAGGGGTGGCAGCATCATGCTGTGTGGGTGCTTTGCTGCAGGAGGGACTGGTGCACTTCACAAAATAGATGGCATCATGAGGAAGGAAAAATATGGGGATATATTGAAGCAACATCTCAAGACATCAGTCAGGAAGTTAAAGCATGGTCACAAATGGGTCTTCCAAATGGACAATGACCCCAAGCATACTTCCAAAGTTGTGGCAAAATGGCTTAAGGACAACAAAGTCAAGGTATTGGAATGGCCATCACAAAGCCCTGACCTCAATCCTATAGAAAATGTGTGGGCAGAACTGAAAAAGCGTGTGCGAGCATGGAGGCCTACAAACCTGACTCAGTTACACCAGCTCTGTCAGGAGGAATGGGCCAAAATTCACCCAACTTATTGTGGGAAGCTTGTGGAAGGCTACCCGAAACATTTGACCCAAGTTAAACAATTTAAAGGCAAAGCAACCAAATACTATTTGAGTGTATGTAAACTTCTGATTCACTGGGAATGTGATGAAATAAAGAAAAGCTGAAATAAATAATTATTTCTACTATTATTCTGACATTTCACATTCTTTAAATAAAGTGGTGATCCTAACTGACCTAAGGCAGGGAATTTTTACCAGGATTAAATGTCAGGAATTGTGAAAAACTGAGTTTAAATGTACTTGGCTAAGGTGTATGTAAACTTCCGACTTCAACTGTATGCATTCCTTTTGTCCAGGTGGGTGAGGGCAGTGTGCAGTGCAATTGCGATTGTGTAGTCCGTGGATCTGTCAGTGTTGTGGGCGAATTGGAGAGGGTCGAGTGTGTCGGGGTGGAAAGAGGTGATATGTTCTTTGACTAGCCTCTCGAAGCACTTTATGATGACAGAGGTGAGTAATATGGGATGGTAGTCAGTTCAGTTATTTTCCACTTCTTGGACACAGGGATGACAATGGACACCTTGAAGCAGGTGGGGATAACAGCCTGAGCTAGAGAGACATTGAAAAAGTCCGAAACACAACAGCCAGCTGGTCTGCACATACTCTGAGGGCGCGACTAGGGATGCCGTCTGGCATCGGCAGCCTTGTGAGGGTTAACACGTTTGAATGACTTACATAAGTACATAGCCCTCATTGTCATCAGGGGCTCTCCTCGGCAGCTCAGAGTCGTCATTGTCCTCGAAGCGTTAGAAAAAGGTGTTTAGCTCATCCGGTAGTGCGGCATAGATGTCTGCGACGTGGCTGGCTTTCTTTTTGCAATCCGTGATTGTTAGGAGTCCCTGCCACATACGCCTCGTGTCTGAATTGATCCTCCACTTTGTCCCTGAACTTGAGTTTCGCCATCTTGATCGTAGGTCGTAAATGTACTGTTTAACCATACTATTGTCCCCAGTCACCTTGCCGTGTTTATAGGTAGCATCTCTCTCCTTCAGTTTCCCTACAAGGCTGCCATCAAACCATGGTTTTTGATTCGGGTTTTGAAAGATACTATCGGTATCACATCATCTATTCTGATTGGTCGGACCAACGGTGGACAGACCTGACCCCCGGAACTTCCCTCTTGATTCTTTGTTTGTAGGCAGGGATCAGCAAAATGGAATCATGGTCATATTTACTGAAAGGAGGATGGGAGATGGCTTTATACCCATGTCTAAAAGGCGTGTAGCAGTGG